TGCCACGCTCCCTCATCTACCCTGTGTGGAATCCCTGTGTTATCAGCGGTTTCTAGTTGTGTTAATTGCTGTTGTGTATATAAGTGAGTTTCCATCAATGTTGCCCCAGTTTGGTCATTGACGTCAGTCCTGCCTGTAGCTCTGTGTTCCCAAGTGTGTTCTCCCCAAATAAATCCCTCGTTCCCCTGAATCCCTGGACTCCTGTGCCTGCTTCCCCACTCTGTGCCACCGATGCATGACAGTGTGTGTGTGTGTGTGTGTGCACATGTGTGTATGTATATACACTATATTGCCAAAGGTACTGGGACACCCCTCCAAATCATTGAATTCAGGTGTTCCAATCACTTCCATAGTCACAGGTGTATAAAATCAAGCACCTAGGCATGCAGACTGCTTCTACAAACATTTGCAAAAGAATGGGTCACTCTCAGGAGGTCAGTGAATTCAAGTGTGGTACCTTGTGTGTCTTCAGATTAGCTCAAGAACAGTGCATTGAGAACTTCATGGAGTGGGTTTCCATGGCCAAGCAGCTGCATCCAAGCCTTACATCACCAAGAGCAATGCAAAGAATCAGATGCAGTGATGTTAAGCACGTTGCCACTGCACTCTAGAGCAGTGGAGACGTGTTCTCTGGAGTGATAAATTCTCTGTCTGGCAATCCGATGGATGAGTCTGAGTTTGGCTGTTGCCAGGAGAACAGTATTTGCCTGACTGCATTGTGCTAAGTGTAAAGTTTGTTGGAGGGGGGATTATGGTGTGGGGTTGTTTTTCAGAGGTTGGGCTTGGCCCCTTAGTTCCAGTGAAAGTAACTCTTAATGCTGCAGCATTCGAAGCCATTTTGGACAATTTCATGCTCCCAGCTCTGTGGGAACAGTTTGTGGATGTTCATGTTCTAATATGACTGCGCACCAGTGCACAAAGCAAGGTCCATAAGGACATGTATGAGCGAGTCTGGTGTGGAGGAACTTGACTGGCCTGCACAGAGCCCTGAGCTCAACCTGATAAAACACCTTTGGGATTAGAGCAGAGACTGCGAGCCAGGCCTTCTCATCCAACATCAGTGCTGACCTCACAAATGCTCTCCTGGAAGAATGGTCAGAAATTCCCGTAAACACACTCCTAAACCTTGTGGACAGCCTTCCCAGTAGAGCTGAAGCTGTTATAGCTGCAAAGGGTGGACCAACTCCATATTAAAGCCTATGTATTAAGAATGGGATGTCATTAAAGTTCATGTGTGTGTAAAGGCAGGTGTCCTAATACTTTTGGCAATATAGTGTGCGTGTCTGTATGTAATTATATGCACAGCTTACACACACACACACACACACACACACACACATAGAAAATAGCCCTCACTGTTGTAAAAATATGTCCCCATTCTTTACCCAGCTGTGGACATTGATATTCCAAAGAAGATAGTCTTTGTATCTGTGTGTATTTGTAGAAAAAAAATTATGAATGAATGACTGCATGAATAAAGTGTCAGTATAAGGCACTAAGTGGCCATGTTATGCAGCTGTTGACTGGGTGCCATAATATCACTGCGTTTCCTTTCTGCTTGTGAAGGATGTTACTGGCCACACTTGACATTGATTGAGGAAACAGTTGCGGTCTATTCACAGGATGTAGACTTCAGTGCACTAATCTAGCTCTTTGACACACGTGACACCTGACTGCTCAAACTCAATGAGTGAATCTAAAAGTTGGTATTTCCTTGACTTCAGCCCCCCTCTGCCTCAGTGTGGAGGTTGAACCAGTAGACAGTCTGTAATTAGCCAGTAACGTATCTGTCTAATCAAAGATCAGTAACAGGCTATGGATGAAGTGGAGCTGCCACAGAAGGGGTGATAGTGTTTCGGCATCCTTATGTTACACGGAGGGGAGGCGTGCCCACGGACACACAGGTAAGCACTGAATAAGGTCTGCATCCCTCTGAGCTGGGAGCCAGGCCTGGTGCTGCGCGCTGGGCCAGGGAGAAGCCCCAGTCTTTCCTACTCTCACGCCCAGTGACAGGCATGTGGAGAAGGGGCTGACTATGGCACACGTGGAGCAGCTAAGGGATCTCATGGATCTGGACGAAGGAGGCGCTTGTAGCCAACAGGATCATGTGGGGCGCTGTCTGAAGAAACTGCTTTGTCTACAGAGAGAGCAACAGATGTAGACCATTTGGGGAAAGCCAGAGTTAAGAATCAGGACTGACTGAAAACTTGAATGGATGTGGACATAGAGGTATTCTTCATCTTGTTATATAGGACACTTTAATGATTACCAGGGAAGTTGTCTGAATTGTGATCTGTGTGTTTACAGTAAATATGAGGCCAATATAGAGCAAGGTGCCTGTAAACTTGCAGTCTGATCGTTTAGCACGCTAACTGGAGCGAGTTTGAGAACTTTTTGAGAAATGTAGCAAAAAGAATTGAGCTGCCGCAAATGGAAGTGCTTCAAAGAGAAGCCCCTGATGCTTTTGTGACTTGTTGTCATATCTGAGACCATCGCTAAGACAGAGCATAAAGGTACGTGTGCACATTTATCTGTCCTGATTACTGATAATGTATAAATCCATTTTAACTGCTGGTCCTGTAACAGACTGATGGAATGGAGACCCCTGTGTTTCCAATGGTGCTGTTACCTTGGAAATGGATTGTCCTGAGTGATGTGAAGACATGGGCACTTTTGTGGGAGAAAGAGAGTAAAAGGGGGTGGGGGTGGATTAGAGGTATCAGTTGCAGGTGATGGGGGTCTCTTTGTCTTCTAGTAACTGGATCCCACACCTCTCATAGCCCAAATGAAGGGATTCAGGCTGTGACACAGCCTCTCAGACCAGGTGAGGCTAGTGAGATAGCTGCTCCGCCTCCGACGCTAAGTCTGAAATCGAAATGAGGTCACCATTCTGCCTCGTGAGTCCGTCTACCCACAGTTTGAGCTCCATTTCTCCGTGAATTTGTCTCTCCATGTCTCTGTCTGTCTGTCTCTGTTTGTCTGTCTGTCTGTCTCTGTCTGTCTGTCTTTCTCTGTTGGTCTGTCTGTGGCTATGTGTCTTGTCTGTGCCCCAGTAACTCCTTCAGTTTACTGCAAATGTAATGGGTAGGCAAAACATTTCTAGGACAAAACTATAAATAAGAAAAACAATTCCTCAGCATTACTTATACGTGACAATGGAAAACAGAAATTCAATAGACACTGAAGAACAATGTTATTAAATCATTAAAAACGGTACATGACAATTTGAAGCATGACACATCACTCACCTAAACGAGTTTGCTCTGAAAGTGGGTGGAGTTTGCATGTTTCTGGGCGTGTCCTCTAGGGGTCTGGTTTCCTCCCTCCATTAGGTGAATTGTGATTTGAGTTTGGAGTTTGAGTCTTATATGAAATGTCAAATGGAATAAGAAATATGAGGTAAAACTGTTAATTTTTAATTTGCTTTGTTTGCTTTTTATAGTACCTGCCTGCCTGCTTGTTACTTCCAAAGCTTAACACATTGCAATGTATATTTATCTGGCCCAGTTATACAGCTGCTCTGCCCCAGTTATATAATTTTTAAAAAATGTGTTTATGCATCTTAATTAAAGGTCCAATGGACGAGCCGAGTTGAATGCAGATGATGACAACTGCAGTGACTGCCCCTTCTGGTCATTTTGCCCTGCCTTGAACCCTAAGGGCTTTCACAAGACCCAAATGTGGACTTCTGGAAGCCCCTGACATTGCATTTCGAAAGATCTGACCTTGGACAGAAATGTCAACCAACGTTCTCGCAGCGAAAAGGCATGGAGAGCGAGGTTCCTTCTTTGCCCCTCCTAGATACCCCTCACGACCTTCATTTTAAAGGGGTTGCAGGGACACAATCGAGCTCATGGGAGCAATCCTTAGTGCCAGTGAGTATTGGGTCAGACAGCCTCTCCCTGCAGTCAGACAGGGTGGCTTTTTGTGGTCATTTTACTAACCATATTGGACCATAAGCAGGTCTTCTAATAGGCCAGCTTGGGAGGTGAGGGCCAGGAAGGGGCCAGAAACCTGCCTTATTCACTGCCAACAACCACCTGGCATTGCTGACATACATGTAAGATGTCAGGGTGCCTTTAAGTGTCTGTGTGTGTGTGTGTGTTTCAGATACACATTACATTGTGAGGACCAAATGTGGCCACAATGTGATAAAAAACCTTTTTTCGGTCCCCATAATGGGAAATTTGATTTTATAAAAATCTGTGACTACAATCAAAATACTGAAAATGCCAATAATTGTATTTTGTGTGGTTACTTACAGTATGGTTAAGGTTAGGGCTGAGGGGGGGTTAAAGTTGTCATTGCTTGGATTAGGGTTTTGCCCATAAAAATTAATGGAGAGTCCCCACAAAGATATGAGTATACATTTGCATGTGTGTGTGTGAGAGAGAGATAGAGGGAGAAAGAGCATATGCTCAGTAGTGTGTGTTTCCTTTCCTGTGAAAATGAAATCAGGAAATCCAGATAAAAATAATTTGTAAAAAGTGATGAATCGAGCATTGTGACCTTGTCCTTTGTCATCTTCTGTCTCATGACTGTAACTGGCACTTTCCTGTGAGTGAAAATAGCAGTTTTCCTATAAATATGAGCTGGATTAAGCTGGCTGGCGCGGGGGTGCGTACTGGGGCTCACAGTGAACGGGGTGTGTCTCAGAAACTGTAAGTTTATGTGATAAAACTAATGAATAAAGCATATTGTTAACAAAATAGAATATAAATATCCTACTTCATTCTCAACCCGCTACAATGTTTTTTTCTTTTTCTTTTTCTCCTCAAACCCAAATTATCTTAAAAGCAGCAAAAAAATACCAAAAACTGTACCGAGAAAATAATCTCAATAATCTTGCACTTTGTATTTTATAGTGGCTGTGGTGTCTGTTGTAAAATGATATTTCACCCTAGCACATCACGATGAATTCAGGCCCCCCCCCATAACCCGAGTATATAATGGCTTCCTATTGGTGGAAGTGGTGTGGGTGCATATCTTAGCGCTTCCTTCCATGTTGGTTTTTTTTTTTGGTTGGTTAGGAATGATCAAAGATGTTCCCTTAGAAATAGAAAGAGGAGCTCTTTGCTAGAGAAGAGGCATGAGGCATTATCATTGAAGGTAGGGAGATTCAACTTTAGGTTCAATGTTTTGGATGGAGTGACTTGCGAGACACAGTGATGGGCTGAAAGATGAGGCATGGGACCACATTAATGCACATTCTCGGTGTAAACATCTTGTAGCCAGTAATTTGAGCCATATTAACCGGGGAAGTCAAAAGCTTTGAAGGCGGGTGGCTTCTTTTACCAGCCAGCAGACCAGTGAAATTGTGCGGCATGGAGTTTAATCTCCAGGTGCCTGAATAATGCACAGGTAACTGATGACATGATAGTGTGCTGGCACATGTGCAGCTTGGTGGGCTTTGCGGTAGGCTGAAGCACGGAAACTGGCAGACAGGAGTGATGGGATGAGCGCTCCTCCGTGTACCAGAATCCACGGCAAGGAATGATGGTTTTGGCACAGTAACGTTGTGTGTGGGAGTACTGTTAATTTATAAACTGAACTTTCATTTTAATACCATCATTTTTTGTATAGCAGATGGTTTTGTCTGGCAAATTTCCATTAGCCATTAAATTAAAGACTTTTATTTTGGGATTCAGAGTAAAAGCTGATTTATACTTAATATAGAATCTGTGTAAGCATGGTGTATACGCGTAGTTTACGCCACAGCCTGACGTGCACCTCCCCTGAAAAGTAACTACAGGTGTCAGGCTACTGTATAGGGCATGCAGCTACACCATACAGACGGTGTAGATTCTACGCAGAAGTTTAAATCAGCCTTAAGCAGCTGTTTGTGGGCTTGGGGTTTGGAAAGAGACGGATAGTTGTACATGACCCCACTTCTTGTCTGACAAGTGAGCGATTGCCTCGGAGTTACATGGAACGCGGAAGCAGATTAGATAATAGGTCCCGTCCTGAGATTCACACTCCGAGTAGGAGGGTCTGGTTTAGTTCACCTTCAAGTTTTCCCTTACAAACAATGGTAGATGGACAGTCATTGGAGGCTGACTGATAGCGGCCAGGAGTCCTTCAGACTGGACTTAGATTGGACTTTCCTTGCCTGACATTGGGACTGAGATGGATCAGTGAACCTGGTGACACATACCGGGCAGAAAGTGATAAGTGTGAGGCAAACAGGATGCCAACAAGAAGAGGCGCGTCCTTCAACCTTCCTGTTGCATCGCAGGCAATTATTCGTTTATGGCACTGGGATACGAAACGATTTCTGTAGTTTACATGCTTTTGCCAGTTTACACAGTTGTATATTTTAGAATTTGCGGCCCACATTCAACAAAGGCGTGAATTCGGATCATTACTTTCTCGGCCATTAGTACCCAGGGCACAGACACAAATAAAAACATAAAAAGCTGTTTTCTTCCTGGAATGTAAAGGAACTTTACATGCAGCGGCCCATCTGCTGACTAGCTTACGGAGCTCCTGAGGCTGACTTGTTATTGGTTTCTGCAGAGCCAGGAGACCGGCGGCAGCAGGATCCTGCTGGACATGGAGGGGGCTCTGACAGCCCGTGATAGAGTGGGAATCCAGGACTTTGTGCTGCTGGATGCCTTCACGAGTGAGAGTGCCTTCCTGGACAACCTGAGGAAGCGTTTCAATGAGAATCTCATTTACGTGAGTCTCTTGCTTTGAATAACTAAGTCTTATTATTATTCATCTTTTTGATATTGATATTTTTTTGGGGGGAAATTGGTTTCTCTAACAGTATTATTGCTTTGACCATAGGAGTTTGAGGTTGCTGTTCTCTACACTCTACTCATGATTGGGTTCAATAAATAGCTCAGGGCCCATGGTTTGATACACTCACAAAATGATCAACAAAATGAGACTGAAAACAAACTAATATCTCACAGTTCTTATTTATTCCTTTTTGGACCTGTACATTTACAAAAAAAAGCTGGTTTCAAACCATTTTCTCTTGCCTTTTTTTCCCTTATTCTGCAGGCTCCAGTGCAAAATGCAAAAATAAAATCTCAAAGTAAAACTGACATTATGCCTTTTGTGCCCTCTTGCGTTGACATTAATGAATGATTTTGTACCACGGTACATGGTTACACCCCTACAATGTGTATAGTTATTTTCTTTAATCTTACATCACTCCTGTACACTAACCCTACCTCAGTCCTGACTCACCATGCTATAGCTGTGGTATGATGGGATACAGAAGGAAAGAACTCTCATCTAGCAGCTCTCGCCCTCAGACATACATCGGCACTCTGCTCGTGTCCGTCAACCCGTACAAAGAGCTCAACATCTATACGAAAAAGCAGATGGATATTTACATGGGTGTCAACTTCTTTGAACTCCCCCCCCATCTGTGAGTATTCTATCGTGTTACAGTGACAATGAGTGTGTGCGTAATCTCAGATAATGGATACAGGATACAGAAAATGAGACACCAGAGGAAATATGTGTTATTAAAACGTGTGTTTGTGTTCACACCTAAAAAACCTTTTGTCGCATCAGTTTTGTTTGTATGTCTGTGTATATTAGGCCTATACCTCTATGAAAACATGTGTGTTCACCACTAACGAAGTTTGGAAAGTGATGTCCATTAATTCTGCTAAAAATGGTACATTTAAGTTATCTAGCTACCAGAATGACTGAGCAGGGTCTGTCTTGTCCAGCTACGCCCTGGCGGACAACGCCTACCGCACTATGATAATGGAGAGCAACAATCACTTTATTCTCATCTCTGGAGAGAGTGGGGCTGGCAAAACAGAGGCCTCCAAGAAGATCCTGCAGTTCTATGCGGTCAGCTGCCCTAAAACCAAACTGTTGGATACTGTGAGGGACAGGCTTCTCCTATCTAACCCTGTTCTGGAGGTCAGAGGGTCACGTGCGAACCGTCCAGTATTTCAGCTAGTGCAGAAGAGCCTATGGGTTAATAAATATTAGTGCTTCTGACATTTTCCTTTATTTTTGCAGGCCTTTGGCAATGCCAAAACACTGAAGAATGACAACTCCAGTCGTTTCGGGAAGTACATGGACATCCAGTTTGACCACCAGGTACAGAAAGAGCCGACCATTTTTGGGTGAAATCTTTCTGCATTGTTCATTGAAGTCTAAACTCCAGTTGTTTCTAAGGGGGAGGCAGTAGGTGGACACATCCTCAGCTATTTGCTGGAGAAGTCCCGCGTGGTCCATCAGAACCATGGTGAGAGGAACTTCCACATCTTCTACCAGCTGATGGAGGGTGCGGAAGACGAGATGTTGCGTTGGTTGGGCCTGGTGCGGGATTGCCAGAAGTACAGCTACCTAGTGCAGGTAAGTCTCAGAAATGTGGAGACCTTGATCCAATGGGCCTGGAGGATTGGAATACTTTTACTAGCCTTCGAATCACTGCCTATCACACACATACAGAAGTCAAATGACTTTGGTCATATATTTGATCCATTTGATCCTAAATCTCTGTGTGGGCAGGGTTATGCCACAGTCATCCCACAGAGTTTTTGACAGCACTATAATCCAACACATGCTTTGGAGACTGACATGACTTCTTCCTTTTTTCCTTATAAAAGGGGGATTGTGCCAGGGTGAGCTCCATCAATGACAAGAATGACTGGAGGACTGTACGCAAAGCTCTCTCTGTCATCGATATCAGCGAGGGTGAAATGGAGGTGAATCTGTACCCATGAATTCAGACACCTGGGCTGAACTGATTAGTTTGATCATTTTGTATGTTATGTTTCTGTGTTATTTTGGTGGCCAGCTGGTGTCACTGTGAGTTTTTCACCCGCTTATCATCTGGCTGTGATGCAGCACCTGTTTGGGATCATCGCCAGCGTCCTGCACCTTGGAAACATGCAGTTTCAGACGGATTATCGGGGATATGCCACTTTGAACAGCAACACAGAGTTGCATTGGCTTTCCAAGGTAAAATGCTCACCTGATTGTACCGGATTGCACAGGTATGGAGCCTCTGGATGTACAGTAAATGGGAATTTACTCTTGGGAATGTCACTGGATTAACCACTTTCCATTAGTTATTTTACTGTATCCCATTGGGCTAAACCAGGCAATAATGACAGCAAATGGTTTTCTCACCAAACCTGTCGACTTGCTTTTGTGTGAACGGTAGAACTATACTCCTATAAATTCAAGATAAGATACAAAAAAAACCATCGTTCTGTCATAATTCAACATTGTATTATTTATTCAGCCTTCGCAAGATGCTCCCATGCTTTTCATGTTGATGTTATTGTAAAAGTACACTCTTCTGGTTGATCTTAACCTTCATGTCCAGTTGCTAGGGGTCCCAATGCAAGTGCTGCGGGAGGGCATGACTCACCGGAAGATTGAGGCCAGGGCTGAGGAGGTAAAGAATCCTACCTTTTCAGTCCTTCTGGTGTTTGTTTGATGAGCCTGATCACCAAATACAGAAATAATGTATCAAAAAGCATGAGTTGATTGTAGAAATTCAGAAGCACTACATTTATATGTATTATTATATGTAAGCACTAAACATGTGTGCTATATTTAATTTAATTTTATTATATTTTACTTCTACTTATTGGTATTTTTCTTTAAATTTTTATATCTATATTTTTCCATTCTAATACTTTTTCCTATACTATTTCCTTGTTTTCCCTTTCTTCCCAGTAAATTAATCAGAGCAACTGTATAACCAAGACAAAGCAATTTCCCTTTGGGATTAATAAAGTTCTTTGAATCTTTGAATCTTTGAATGAGTATCACCATCATCACATCATTGTGTAGTGTCAGTTACCCTGAATTGCTTCAGTACAATTTTGAATGCTTAAAAATACAAGTCCTCCAAGTTAGTTTGTCAAAGACAGTCTACTGATGTCATGCTGTGCAGACAGAGAGCTAGTCGATCACTTACAGTCCCTGGGTCCTACAAAAAAATAGCCAATCCTGTCCCCTGTGGTTTCCAGGTCCTCAGCCCTTTCACAGTGGACCATGCAGTCTATGCCAGGAATGCTTTGGCTAAAGCAATCTATGGCCGCACTTTCACATGGCTAGTGAACAAGATCAACGAGTCTTTAGCAAACAAGGTGAGGTCTCTTGAACACCCCTCAGTCCATAGGTGGCCAGTCTCCCTCCTGGAATCCCAAAATCTCTTAGGATCTTCAATTGAATTTTTCAATTGAATATTAATATTAATAATTGATTTAACACCTGAGGCTTCATCTAAGATTACTTGTACAGTATAACTACTTCAGTAAAGAAAATGTGTGTGGAGTAGCAGTTGTATTAACTGTCCAACCTTTTAAGCTCAGAGTTTAGTATCCTTGACTTTATGCAGAATTAGAGATCATATTCAAGCAGTTCACCCAAACAAGTAATGATTGTCCTATTTCGCAGCTTCACCTACTGATGGGAAGTAAATCTTTTGTTGAAGTTTTTTCCCCCAAAATCCACCAAAGACAAACTGAAGGTTTTGGGGGAAATCTGAGTTGTAGAGGCAGTTATGGAAATTGATTGCTTGTTTCTGTGGTTGACCCTGCAGGATTCTACCAGGAAGACTGTCATTGGGCTGCTGGACATCTATGGTTTTGAAGTGTTTAACATCAACAGGTGACAGACATTTGTCAGAGGACCTCCTCTTCTGGTCTAGGCCCTGTTGCATCATTTATGCAACATGCCACAGGCCTTTTACATGAAGGATCCTGGTATTATTCTACCTTAAAAACATTATCTTCCTGTTTGCCTCATTAATTGTATGGTGGTCAAAGTACTGTCCCACTTTCCAAAATTACTGCAGGCTGCTAAAACCTCCATGACCTGTACGGTTTTCTACCTGGTCTCTCCTGCTTCCAAGGAGCACGATTAGATATTTCTGGCACACATCTTTTCTGTTGCATGTGTGTATATGCTTCCAGCTTTGAACAGTTCTGCATCAACTACTGCAACGAGAAACTTCAGCAGCTCTTCATTCAGTTGACACTCAAGTCAGAGCAGGAGGAGTACGATATGGAAGGAATCGAAGTAAGCACCTTTTTATGTTTACCCAATGCTGTATCCTGTCTGTTGCAGAGAGTCATTGTGTAGTGTGTTGGTCGTTGAGCCTGTTTAAAGTCTATGTTCTCTATGTTGTCCATGTTGGTTGCAGTGGGAGCCTGTTCCGTTCTTCAACAACAAGATTATCTGTGACCTGGTGGAGGAGAAGCACCATGGGATAATCTCTGTGTTGGTGAGGACACCCTGCCTGGACATAGGGGGTGGAGCAACCTGGGTAGAAATGCAGAATATGACAAAGACCCAAAAATCTGACATCAAAGATTGGTGTCATAGGCGGTAGAACTTTGAGTTGGCTATATAGGCAACATTAAGAAATGTCAGCCTCTTTTAAAACATAATCAATCAGTCAAATTCAATAATAAAGAATATATGAATACAGTGATCAAATAAATATGAAGGTGATCTGAACATTATAGGTTTCTTAAAATTGAGGCAGACATGTACAATGATGCCGCTGTTTCTCCATCTGTCTCCCTTCAAGGACGAGGAATGCCTCCGACCCGGGGAAGCCTCTGATCTCACCTTCCTCACCAAGCTAGAGGAGAAGATGGGAAGCCATCCTCACTTTGTTACGTGAGTGCCTCTGGTGGCCGAACACAGGCATATACCCACATACATACAAACACATACAGCTGTGTAAAAAAATTATTTTTTTTGTCTTTACTCATTTCTTTGGTCATTTATGGGTGTTTGTGAATAATACAGTTGAAACCAGAAGTTTACATACACTAAACATACACTAAAATGACACAAAAGTTTTTTTTTTCCCTCACTGTCAAACATTAAATCAGAGTAAACTTTTTCTGTTTTAGGTCAGTTAGGATCCCCAATTTTTTTTTATATTTGTTAAATGTCAGAATACAGACAGATACTTTTGTAGAGATTTTTTTTATTACTTTAATCAAAGTAAAAAATGTACATACACTTCCTTAGTATTTGGTAGCATTGCCTTGAAACTGTTCCACTTGGGTCAAACTTTTTGGGTATCCCCTCCCACAAGCTTCTCACAGCAGTTTGCTAGAATTTTGATCACAAAATTCTAAAATCTTTTCTCACGATGCCTTCTGTTTCGTGACGTGCACCAGTCCCTCCTGCAGCATAGCAGCCCCACAGCATGATGCTGCCACCCCCCGTACTTCATAGTTGGGATGCTGTTCTGAGGCCTGCAAGCTTCCCCCTTTTTCCCTCCAAATACATCATTGATCATTATGGCCAAACAGTTCAGTTTTAGTCTCATCAGACCACAGGAAATGTCTCCAAAAATTAAGATCTTTGTCCTCATATCCAGTTGCAAACTTTAGTCTGGCTTTTTTACGACGGTTTTTAAGCAATGGTTTTTCCTCACTAAGTGTGGTGGTTCAGCTCATGTCGGTACCTGTTTCTGTCAGTAGCCAGCATCTTCACAAGGTCTTTTGCTGTTGTCCTGCGGTTGATTTTGATATTTCATACCAAAACACATTCATCTCTGGGACTCAGATTCTATTTTATGCCTTGGAATCTATTTAATTGTAAATATATTGTGCTTCTGCTGGCGCGCTCCAAACTAAATCTCATTGTACTTACAATGACAATAAAACATCTATCTATCTATACAGTAGATCCATCAATCCATCCATCCATCCATCCTGAGCGGTATGATGGCTGTATACTCCCATGGTGTTTATACGTGCATATTATTGTTTGAACAGATGATTGTGGGTCTTTCAGGCTTCTGGAAATTGTACCTAACGACTTATAGAGGTCCACGGTTCTTTTCCTGATGTCTTGGTTAATTTCTCTTGATTTTCTCATGATGTCACAGAACAAAGCTCTGTTGAGGTGTGCCTTAAAATAAATCTACAGGTGTGCCACCAATTAACTCAAATGGTGTCAATTAACCTATTAGAAGCTTCTAAATGCCAGAGTGGAATCACCTGGAATTAGCTGTATTGTTTAAAGACATAATAAACTTAGTGTACGTAAACTTCTGACTTTGATGAAAGTTATAAAAATAAAAAGTAAAATTATCTCTCTTTATTCTGACATTTAACAATTACAAAAAAATTTGCCGATCCTAACTGACCCTAAAACGAAAAACGTTTACTCTGATTTAATGTTTAACAGTGAGAAAAAAAAAGTCTTTTACTGAAGTGCATGTAAACGTCTGGTTTCAATTGTTTATATTTTTGGCAAACTGCAGCCTGATTCTTCCCTGTTTCTCATTAATGAGGGGCTCCTTCCGTGCTTCATGGGACTTTAGTCCTGCTTCTAGGGGCCTGATATGACCAGTCACTTGATGTCATCCTACGATTCATGAGAAACTGTTGGATAAGTTATTGGTCGTCTCTGGCATTAGAAAGTCCCTTCCACCCTTCCACTGTACCTGGCTGGTTTCTGGTTGTTCCCAGTGTCTCCTACTTCACCCTGTTCTTGTGTCCTGCGGTCTTAAAAATTTTGAACCTGGAAGCAACCTGCTGCTCAGCATAGCCTTCTGGCAGCAGAATCACGATTAAACCAGGATTTAAAAATGTAGATTTGTTTAAAAATGTACAGTGGTCTTTTAATTTTTTCCATGACTGTAAGCTCGCATCAGCCACTAGAACTGTTACATAGCTGAAAATTGAGAAGTCAATGACAAATATATGTCTGTATATGACCTCCATGCCTATATATTTGTGCGATATGGCCTGCAGACACAAACTGGCTGACCAGAAGACCCGGAAGACCTTGCAGAGAGGCGATTTCCGCCTCCTGCACTATGCTGGGGAGGTGACATACTGTGTTGTCGGTGAGGAACGTTCCACACACTACACCTCAGACAAACACTATTGCTTTGGGGTCTCTTTAGCCCCTGGTGTCACTGTGGTTACCATTAAAGTAAAGCTGATGACCCACCCTGTTTTGTTTCAGGATTCCTGGACAAAAACAACGATTTGCTGTACAGGAACATCAAAGATGTGAGTTTCTCTCAGGTCACCAGCAGCCAACAAGCGCACAATCGTTTGTGGGGCTGGGGTCTTGAAATATTCATAGTCCAGAAGTCTTGCAGTGAATAATTGAGGAGGGGATTGTTGAGTGTGAACTGGCTGTGCAGCCTCTGCTCTAGGGGCACTGCTGCTCACGTCTGTCTGTGTCGTCAGGGAGTCAACAGTTATCATAGTTTCATGATCACTGTACCATAATCATCATTGTTCATTCATTTTTTTCTTATCTTTGAGAATAAGTACCACTGTTCTTGCCCGTAATTGTCCCAAGTGCACTGGAGTCAGGGTTAAGATCCAGCTAAGATGCATGACTTGTGCTGCACCCAGGTGATGCGACAGTCCAAGAACTCCCTCGTCAAACATTGCTTCCCTGCTGTGGAGCCAGACAACAAGAAGAGGCCTGAGACGGTAAAAAAAAGACCCAGGAATCATTCTTCCCTTGTTTATAGCCGTACTTTTGTTGTTGACACGGCTTCCATTTTCTGTGTTTTCCTCAGTTTGAACAGTTTGCGCTGGATGCTGGATACTATATAACATTGATTACTTCCTGCCCTACAGAAGCTTCATTCTTAAAGGCTTTAACCTGATTGATCAGTATAGCAGCGGCCTGCTCGATGGAGTGTAACTCTTTACCCTTTAAAAGGTGTTTTTTTTTACTTAATATCTCACCCTCTCTTATTGACTTATAGGTAGCCACTCAGTTCAAGAGCAGCTTGATGGGCCTGACAGAAATCCTCACGTCCAAGGAGCCATGGTATGTGCGTTGCCTGAAACCCAACGACGCCAAGCAGCCAGGTGTGTAACGCTTTAGATAGGCCTGTTTGACGCTGTCTTTGTGGTACCCTTGAAGCATTGCTCACACATTAGCTCTCGATGCCACCATCGGATGAGCTCTGTGTTCCTGCAGGGCGTTTTGATGACGTTCTGGTGAGGCACCAGGTGAAGTACCTGGGGCTGATGGAGCACCTCAGAGTCCGACGGGCCGGCTTTGCCTACAGACGACGATACGAGGTCTTTCTGCAGAGGTATGTAGATGTGAGGTGCTTGGGAATACTTACAGTGATTCAGCAGAAATTAATCATTTATATGAGGGTTGTATAGCCGTGTGGGTAGACGACTGTCTGAAGTGGCAAGTGAAATGACTTGTTGCTGATATATTAACCTCAGTATTGAGGTTCAGAGCAAAGAATGAAGCTGAGCCTATAAGAGACATGTTTCAACTGACTGTGTTCTTCTACAGGTACAAAGCCCTGTGCCCTGACACCTGGCCCCACTGGAGAGGTGATCCAGCCGAAGGCGTGCAGATGCTGGTCACACATCTGGGCTACCGGCCAGATGAGTACAAGATGGGCAGGTGTGGTATTGAACATCCTGAATAAGTGTGTGAACTAAGTCAATACGTTGGAAGCTTTCCAGTAAATATAATAAGATTCAAGTACAACTGTTCCTTGTTTAGTGACCTAATTCCGATTCAGCGACCAGGTTGTTAAGTGAAATGGTTGCTAAGTGAAAATCACAGTAGCCTAGGTGTGACCGCGAATGTGCTTATGACTAGAGAGATGGACGTGGATGATATCTATCTGCATTCTCATCTGTCCCTGCAAACATGTAAACTGTACCCACCGCAACCCCACACCAACAATACAGTGTACAATTAAATGTGTCCATATTTGCCTTTAAATATCTTAATTATTGAGTTACTCACTTAACACGGCCACTAGGTGGTGTTGGGGTGAGAACAAGTAATTTAACAGAACTAAAGGACTGGTAATCAATGTAGCATTTACTAGCAATTTCATTACCATTACTGCTGTGTTACCATGCATTTTATTACCATCCTCGCAGGAATATAGTAAAGATCATTTCCATTCCTGCCGCAGGAATATTTTTCTTTTTATCGCCAATCCTGGAGATTACTGCAGATATGGCATGCAGCTCTCTACTTACGGCTTCACTTCAGCCTTCTATACTCAATTTCTTTTGTCCTTCATGAACAAGATCTCTGTCACTTTGATCATAAGTGTGTGCATTGGTCAGAAAATTTATTTTTTTATTACCATTGAGAATTACCATTGAGAATGGTCATTAACCAAGATAGTCACTTACCACGATGCCATGATGAGGGGCTGTATATGCTTGTAAATGGAAGGGAGACCACAAGGCAGGAGTGTTGGTGATGGTTTGGAAGAATTTGTTCCTCCCTCTGCCACTTTACAGGACCAAGATCTTCATCCGTCACCCCAGGACCCTCTTTGCTACTGAAGATGCCTTCGAGACTTGCAAACATGAGCTGGGTGGGTGGCTTCCTGAAGATCTCCCCTTGGGGGGGGGCAAAGATGTGTGCCTACTGCTTGTATTCACCTGTACATTCTGTACACTTTCCACGCCATAGCCACAAGGATCCAGGCTAAATACAAGGGATACCGGGTCAAAGGGGTCTTCCTGAAACAGAAGGATGCAGGTAGATTCTCCTTTCTTCTGCTTTCTTATTTGTTTTTTATTGTCATTTCCTTTAACATTTTATGAGCAGAGGGCAGTATGTTTAAGTATCATAGGCATCTGAATTTCTTGGATTTAGATATATACCACAGTACTATAAACTATAAACCTGATAATGCCAGTTGATACTCATGAACGGCAAGCTATGTTGATTCCATATTAGAACCCACTATTTTTTGGTGTTTGTTAATACTTTAGAACATAAGAACATAAGAAATTTACAAACGAGAGGAGGCCATTCGGCCCATCAAGCTCATTTGGGGAGAACTCAACTAATAGCTCAGAGTTCTTAAAATCTTATCTAGCTCTGATTTAAAGGAACCCAAGGTTTTAGCTTGCACTACACTAACAGGAAGAATATTCCATACTCTAACTACATGCTGTGTAGGGAAATGCTTTCTCAAATACATTTTAAAATGTCCTCCCGCTAATTTTCACCTATGGTCGTGAGTTCTTGTACTTGAACTAGTGCTGTCAAACGATACATTTTTAAAATCAGATTAATAACAGGGTTGCTGTGGATTAATTTAGATTAATCACGATTAAATATCATTCATTTTTAATCTAAATTAATCGTATTTCATTTTGCATGAGCAAAGAGACTCAAGAAAAAAGGAAATATATATGCACTTAACATGTTTATTGAACATCTTGAACACGAGTCGGATGCATTCCATCTGCCACAGAAGTGCAATACCATGGACCCATATCAAAAAGCAAGATTTTTTGCTTAGCTGGACAACTTGTCAGATTTAAGGTACCTCAGTTTAAATGGTCTTTATCTTCGTTCACTTACAATTAGCCCGAACTACCGTAAATCTGACAAATAATCCGACTAATCATGAAATATAATTCTAGCCCGGTTAATTGCCATTGTTAGCAATATCAGTTGATAACACATTACGCGCGGTGCTTTACGTATAAAACTCCGTAGCAACATGTCCACAGATAGGTTGGACGGTATAGTGTGTGCGACCGATTTAATGAGCCACAAATGAGAAGTAGTGCTTAAACAGTATAAAACAACAACTTTCCCTTCTGTTGATAAAAGGCACAGCCATCTTGGATTCTGAACTCGGGATCCTCTGTGCTGCTCCGAGATCTCAGAGAAACGGGAGTGCGCATACTCTGGAATCCGACTAGGAATACGCATTCCCAGGTCAAATGGAACGCACCAAGACTGCCCGAAATGGGTTGACAGAGACATTTCAGGGATTTTGAGTCATTTTGCGCCTCAGATGGGTTAATTGCGTTAAAAATTTTAATCAGATTAATCATGATAATCTGCGCTAACCCGTTAATTTTGACAGCCCTAATTTGAACTAATATTGAAGTAACTATTTGGTTGAACAGCATCCAGAACTGTTAGAATCTTATATACCTGGATCATGTCCCCCCTTAGTCTCCTTTGCTCAAGGCTGAACAGATTCAGATCAGCTAACCTCTCCTCATAAGACATTCCCCTAAGACCAGGAATCATTCTTGTAGCCCTACGTTGCACCCTTTACATGACATTTTCCTTAAAAATGTACTTTTTAAGGTATGGTGACGAAACCTGCACACAATATTCTAGGTGGGGTCATACCAAGGAATTGTATAATCGTAGCATCACCTCCCTTGAATTAAACTCCACACACCTCGAGATGTAACTCAGTATCCTGATGGCCTTTTTAATTGTTTCCCCACACTGGTAAGAGTGGGACATGGAAGCATCAACATACACACCTATGTAAATTAGAAATAACAGCGGTCCTAAAATTGAACCCTGTGGTACCCCACTATGAACGCAGGCCCACTGTGACATTGTGCCTCTAATAATTACCTGCTGCTTCCTATCTGTTAACCAGTTTTCAATCCAGGCTGCTACAGTTCCTAAAATCCCTGCTGATTTGAGCTTAAGCAGGAGCTGTTTGTGCAGGACAACATCAAAAGCCTTCTGGAAATCTAAGTAGATCACACTGTAGACCTTTTGTGAACAATTTCTCTTGTAGTTTCTCAAAGAACTCAAATAGATTAGTTAAACAGGATCAACCTCTCCTAAATCCATGTTGGCTATCCCTCAGAATGTTATTTGAATCCAGGTAGTCTACCATTTTCACTTGGATTATAGCTTCCATTAGTTTTCCAGTTGTGTAAGTTACACTAATTGGCCTATAGTTTGATGGATTACTTCTATCCCCTTTTTTGAATATGGGCGTTATATTAGCATGCTTCTAGTCAGAAGGTACCACACCAGCAGATAAGGATTTCTGAAATAATAAGGCTAACGGTCGACAAATAATACCCCTCATTTCTCTTAAAACTATAAGTAAGATGCCATCAGGGCCTTGCTATTTATTTATTTTGAGCTTAGCTAAGCTTTATAGCACATCAGCTTCAGTTACAGATATATTACTCATATCAGAATGAGTCCATATGTTACTTGTGTCCTCTACTGTGAATACCAGTGCAAAGCAATCATTAAACTCATTAACTATATCAATTTCATTTTCAATTATAAGACCCTTACTGTCTTGCAAATTAGTGATTTCAGCTTTTACAGCTCTTTTGGAGTTAAAATATTGGAAGAAACTTTTAATGTCATCCTTAGCCTGTAATGCAATCTTCCTTTCAAAATACCTCTTAGTCAGTCTAATATTCTTTTTTAACTCAACCTGTAGACTTAGATACTCCTGCTTTATTCCGACATCACTAGTTATTTTCCATTTGTGGAACTGAGCCCTTTTCCCCCTGACTTTATTATTAATTTCAGTAGTAAACCACCTTGGTTGCAGTCTCCTAGATTTAGTTTTGTTGGAAACAGGTACACAAGTTCTATTGCGCTTGCAATATTGTGCTTTTAAAAAAATTCCCAAGCCTCTTCAACAGTTTTGTTAACTCCATCCAGTGTAAAGTTCCCAGTTTCAGTCTCATACCATTAAAGTCAGCCTTCCTAACATTATATATTTTTGTTTTGGACTTTGCTCTTCGGACACTAAAATTAGCCTGAAATGTAGCCATGTTATGATCACTACGGTTAAGTGGTTCTAAAACCACAAATTTTCTCTTCTTATCCTGGTTATTAGAAAAAACAAGACTGAGAACAGCTTCATCCCCGGTAGGGGTTTTCACAAACGGAGTAAAAAGCAATCTTTATTATTACTTTTGACAAAAGGCTTACATTTTAAAACTTGTACTCAGTAAACTGTTTTAATCTTTGGATTTGGACGCACATTCTTTTGATGTCCCTTCTCTGTTGTTTGCATGTCCACAGCCACAAAAATCGAGAGCTGCTGGAGAGCCTTGTTGGCAAGGAGAGAGCGGCAGAGAAGGGCTTGGGCGGTGAAGGTCATCAGGAGGTTAGCAGAAGCACTGCTTCCTGTTCTCTTCTCAGTAGGTGACATAGTGGCTGCAAACATCACCAGGAACCAGAGATTTAATTACTGTTGGGGACAGTTGGGGACAGTGTGGTTGTGTGTTTAATCTGAAAGGTATGGAGCTTCACTCATGTCATAATGAACGTTCAGTAACGCTTTACATTAACTGCACCTTCATGATGCCTTATTAATGCATTCATAGAACATTCAGTGCCCCTACATAAAGATACATAGATATTTAATATGATAATGTTTGTTATTAATGTATATTAAAGCTGTTAGGGTATTTTACGATGTTAAGCTATAGATACATGCTGACTATGAGTGTTTTATAATTGCATTATGAATGTATTATGCACTGAATGTTCTATTAATGCGTAATTAATGTTTTGTGAAGGTGCAGTTAATGTAGAGTGTTACCATACGTTCTATATTGTGGCCATGTTTTAATATATTGTGGGAATGAATTAATAAATCATGGGAATGATTTAACCAAAACGAGGGAAATAATTGATAAAACGTGCCCATAATTTAACTAAAACGAGGGAATGAATTAGTTCGGCGAAGTGCTCTGGCTCTCAGTGTTCTACATAAGTGTGGGGCTCCTTACATTAACATAAGATAAGATAAGATAGATCTTTATTGTCACTATTACAGAAACAGTGAAAAACAGTTTAGCAGCTCTCTGTTTAGCAACATAAGTTAAAGTAATAAATAAGAAATAACAAATAAGAACAACACACAAAAAGAGACCGCCATCCTATTACAGTATGAGTGTCTGAGTGCAATGTGTATGATGTGTCAGTCGAGGTAGAGTGTGGTTAATGACCTGCCCTAAGCATAGAGGACAGTCATTCAGGTGGTGGGGGGGTGGGCGCATTTGACTGCCTGTGGGTAAAAGCTTTTGTTCAGTCTCTTTGTTCATGCTCTGACTGACCTGTAGTGTCTACCAGAGGGGAGGGGGGAGAAAAGGTAGTGTCCAGGGTGTGAGTATCTTTGATGATTTTACTGGCTTTCCGGTGGAGTCAGCCAGTGTAAATGTCCTTGAGGGGTGGTAGTGCTGTTCTGATTACCTACTGTGTCACCCTTTTGGGGCAGCGTGTGGCTCAGTGGGCTAAGCCTGTGTACCTGTAATCATGGTTCAAACCCAGCCTCAGCACGTCTGTGGCTCCTTGAGCAAGGCCCTTAACCCCCAGTTCCCTGGGCGCCCCAACAGGTGGCTGCCCTTCACGGACAACTTACTCTATAAAGAGCAAGTTGAGGGAGGCGTAAAAACAATTTCTCCACGGGGATCAATAAAGTATCTATTATTATTACCACCTGCTGCAGGTTCTTCCTGTCTCCCTCAGTGCAGCTGCTGAACCACACTGTGCAGCAGTAGGTCAGGAGGCTCTCAATGGTAGAGTGGTAAAAATTGGTTAGTAGCTTTTGAGGGAGGTGGGCCTGACGCATCTTCCTGAGGAAGTACATTCTTTGTTGTGCCTTCCCCACCTGGTGAGAGATGTTTGTGGACCAGGTGAGGTCGGCGGAGATGTGGACCCCTAGGAACTTGAAGCTCTCCATCCTCTCTACCTCTTCTCTGTCCATGTAGAGGGCAGAGTGCTCAGCCTGCTTTGGCTCTCCTGAAGTCCACTATCATCTCCTTGGTCTTGGATGTATTCAATTCCAGGTTATTACTGACACACCATTGTTTCTGTGCCTCTAGCCAGCGCTTGTGCTCGGTGGATTTTTCATGCTGACTGACATTGTTCCTTCCCCCGTGGGAGACACTAAAATCGCAGTTACAAATCTTACAGAACGCATGACTGTGTCCCATCCTACTCCTCTTTAGGAAAGTAAATTCGCTGTCCCATTTTTCGAGATATTTACACGATTATTTTGGCAGGAATGCCTTGTTCTTCACAACCATCCATCTCTCTCCTTTGTTGTTCTGGATTTGTCCCCCTGTTGGCAATAACCTCACGACAAATGCCACCCAGGCGACTGCAGGTGGCAGTTCTCGCGAGGCTACTGACAGAGTTCAGTTTGGAGAGGCAGAGGAATTTTTTTTTTAATGATATTATAATACGGGAGATTTACGGAAAAATGCTAATACGGGACGACGGCGGGAAAGAGGGGTAAAATATGGTAGTTTCCCGGCCAAAACAGGAGACTTGACAGATTTGCCTTAATGTAGGGCATGATGAGTCTTTCTAAGCACTTGGTGATGATGGGAGTTAAAGCAACTGGGCGGTAATCATTCAGGCAGCTCACTGTGCTCTTCTTCTTGGGCAGTGGAACAATGGTGGCTGACTTAAGGCAGGTCGGAACTACAAACTGCAGTAGCGAGAGGTTGAAGATGGTTGTGAAAACCTCCGCTAACTGGTCTGCACATGCCTTAAGTAGCCTCCCTGCAACTGCATCTGGACCAGCTGCTCTCCTCACGTTGACTGTGCGCAAGGTGGTTCTGACCTGATGCTGCTGCAGCTGGATGGGGGCATCGACCCTTTTTTGGAAGAGCAGGATGAGTGTGGGCCATGCTATTGGGTTGGTCGAAGCGGGCGAAGAACCTATTTAGGGTGTCAGGTAGAGTGCTGTCTGAGCAGTCTGCCGGTGTGTAGGAGTCTTTGTAGCCGGTAAGTGCCTTGATCCCCTGCCACATTTGTCTGGAGTTGTTGCTATCAAAGTGTTTCTCGATGCGCAGTTTGTGTCTGCGCTTGGCCTTTTTGATGCCTTTCAGCAGGGACCGAAGTGCCTCTTTGTAAGCCTGCTGATATCCTGACTTAAGGCAGCATCTCGTGTTCTGAGCAGGGCACGCACCTCGCTGTTGAGCCACGGCTTCTGGTTTGGGAATGCTTTAATAGTCTTTGTTGTGGTAACACTCCCAGTGCTAAAGTTGATGTACAGTAAGAGAGCACAGCAGCTGTGTGACCCTCTAGGTCTGTTCCCTCTGCAAATATTCCCCAATCTGTGTTGTCACAGCAGTCTTGTAGGGCTGCGGTGGCTTCCTCAGTCCACACCTGAATTGTTTTAACTGTTGGTCTTTGTCTGTAGATTAGAGGTTTATAAGCAGGTATCAGGGACAGAGAGAGATGGTCTGAAAGTCCAAGGTGTGGCAGAGGGGTAGTTTTGTAGGCCTCTGAAATGTTGGTGTAGACCTGGTCCACAATGTTATTTTCCCTCGTCGGAAAGCTCACGTTTTTGTATATTCCAGGCAGGACAGACTTCAGGTTTGCATGCTTAAAGTCTGGGTCTGGGTGCGCCGTAAGCTGTTGGTTAATAGAGCGTTGCAACTTCTCCATTGCTAGTTTAGCATTAGCCTGTGCGGCACATAAACCGCGGTTATAACGACCGACGTGAACTCTCTCGGCAAGTAGAACAGTCTACATTATACTATCAGCTATGTCTGGACAACAGTGAATATCTTTAACTGTGGCGTTAGTGCACCAGTTGGTGTTTACAAACACACAAAGTCCTCCTCCCCGCTTCTTACTGGACTCTCTGAAGGTAGCATAGCCCGTTAGCTTGGTGGCAGTTAGTGGGGTGAAAGAGTCCAACCATGTTTCTGTTATTACCATCACACAGTAATCCAAGCAGTGTGACCGGGAGTTGGCAAGAAACAGACTTGGAATGGCTGGTTTGTGGGGGTTAGCATTTAGCTTAGCCCTCAGCGCCCCCCTCTTGCCCCTCTTCTGTTTCCTGTGCCTCCGTCACCTGCGTCGCTTCAGCGGGGGAATGTTGTAAACAGAGATGGCGGTCTCTGTTAGAACCTCTCGCTAATAACAATTTCTTGCAATGCAAGGCTTTTAAGAATTCCAACCTACAGTAGGGTTGCCACTTTCAATCTGAACAAATACACAACTTCTCTTACGATTAAATATGCGGAGCAAGGGGAACAATAAAGTTTGGCAGGGGGGTCAAATTGTGAATACGAGACAAATAGCGCTCCGTAATTGTGCAAAACGGGACACAGCATTTTATTTTTCAATACTGAACGATCCCATAAAATTTGGAACAGGTGGCTACTCTATGCCAACCTTAAAACTAAATTGTCTCTCCTTACCAGTATAAGGCTCTCAAAATTTGGAGTGAGATTACAGCCAATGTGTGAGACTTGAGAGCCCCCAGCAGATGCAAATGTCTAGTGGCCTAAATGAAAATGATACATTAGGCAATACGCAGGCTACATAGTAAAACTCACCCTTGTTTTACCATATAATGAGAACAAATTAATAAAACTTGGTCAAAATTGAACTAAAACGAGGGAACAAATTATTCAAACGAGGCCACGATTTAATACATTGTGGAAACAAATTAATAAAATGTGGCCAGAATATATGTAATTATAATCTTGATGTCATGAGAGGGGCTCCGCAGAAAAGCATCATAATAGATTAGAAACATCAGAATGTCAGGTTACACAGATAAGTGTTCCTCATTTTTAATAATTTGGACAGTGACAAATGGCAAGCTTGGATTTGGGTTCCGATCCACAGATTCATCAAGGGTTTTATGACAAGGAATCAGCCAGTTTGCAGGGAAAACACAGAGTACCTCACCTTCATCAGGCAGAGCTATCTTACCCGGTTGAAGGAGAATCTACCCAAGAATGTTCTGGATAGGAAAAGCTGGTTAACCCCACCACCACTTTTAAAGGAGGTATGTGTCTTGAACTGCAAAATTCCTTTTCGTTTATGCAGAGCGCACTTCCCCCCCATTTTAACTGACCCACTCTTTGTCCGCGAGTGCTGCATGGCTGTTCACAGTGCGCTGCGATGCAAAGCTGTCCTTAGCAATTTAGACATTTGAGGTCCCCATCCATGCTTTGGCCCCGGAAGAGGCATGTGATATGTGATGGCCTCCGATTTCCTGCCCTCCTAGACCTCCCGACTCCTGCGGCAGCTCCATACTCGCCTCTTGGTGCGCAAGTATGTACGGGGGATCACGGCACAGCAGAAGGCACAGGTAGAGCCAGAGAGACATCCTGATATCCTAACCCCGCGTATCTGCCTCTGGTTTCATATTAGATGCTGTTTGAGCATATTCTAGAGGCACGGGGCTACATAATGGTATCCAGACACCTGTTGTGTAGTTTCTCAGAGAATCTCGGTAATGTGACTGCATTGATGGTACCAATTCATAGCTTTGCTTCCCGGATGCTTTGTCACCATCTGCCTGTATGTCCGGCTGGGCTCCTTCCTCACTACTGCCCCAGCTGCAGATGAAAAGCGTCACCAGTGCCCTGTTCAAGGGGAAAAAGGAGAGCTACCCCCAGAGTGTGCCCAAGCCTTTTGTCAGCACCAGGATCCGTAAGACACCACCATCCTGTGGTCCTGCTGTGGATTAATGTTTGACCTGGCTTTCTCTGTGGTCCCCTCATGATCCCCTGTGTCCCTTTTAGGTGAGCAGGATATCAATGCAAAGATCCTGCAGACAATTCGCCATGAACGATTCAAGGTAAACATATACATGCAATGGGCATCACTGACGCACCACCAAACCGGTCATGCTGAACAACATTACAGGCAGCAGAATGTTCTTGAGACTGTGCTGGGAGACACAGCAAACCTTTTGGCAATGGCATGTATTGATGCACCATCCTGGAGGAGTTGGACTACCAGTGCAACCTCTGTAGGGTCCAGGTATCCCCTCATGCTACCAGTAGTTACACTGGCAGTAGCCAAAACTAGTGAAAACAATCAGAAAAGATGAGGAGGGAAAAACGTCAGTGGCCTCCACCTGTTAAACCATTCCTGTTTTGGGGGTCGTCTCATTGTTGCCCCTCTAGTGCACCCGTTGTTAATTTCATTAACACCAAAGCAGCTGAAACTGATTATCAGCCCCTCTGCTACTTAACTGACCAGATCAATATCCCATAAGTTTAATTGACTTGATGCTATACTCCGATTAAAAGTGTTCCTTTCATTTTTTGAGCAGTGTATATATTTTTTTTTGCAAATGCAGCCTGGTTCTTCCCTGTTTCTCATTAATGAAGAGCTTCCTCCTTGATTATTGGAACTTTGGTCCTGCTTCTAGGAGCCTGATGTGAACTATCCTAGCAGTGCACTTCACACCTGCACTTAATGCTTCGCATTCCTTTTGAAGGTCACTTGATGTCATCCTACAATTCATGAGAAACTGTCATAAGTTAATGGTCATCTCTGGCATTAGAAAGTTGTTTCCGCCCTCTCATTAGCTGGTTTCTGGTCGTTCCCAGTGTCTCCTACTTTACCTTGTTTTGAACCTGTTAATTTGAACCTGGAAGCAACCTGTTGCTCAGCGTAGCCTTCTGCCAACAGAACCACGGTTAAACCAGGATTTGAAAATGTAGAGTGGTATTTTTTCCATAGCTGTACTTTCCCTTTATTTTGCAATTTCAGGTAGCACTTCACTTAAAGCAGTCATCGTAATGCATTATAGGTACCTTCATAATGCATTATAATGCAGCCATAAACAATTATAAACACAGCTATAACTATTTATAAAATGGCATAATACATTACAGCCATGTTTATTGTCAGCCTCGGAGGTGAACGCGAGCACGGAAGCAGGCGAA